TCTCTCTCTCCTCGTCACCTCCGGACGATCCTGCCCGCTCGGATCCGACGAGCGGCGGGCTTTAATTGAAATTCCGGGTCGATACGTTGCGCGACACACCGGCTCTGTTATCTGGAGTTATCGCGTCGCGGGATAAACATACCCGTAACGACGACTTCCGCGAGGAAGCTATCGGTCGGTCGGACGGTCGGTCCGCCGCTGATAACAGAGCCCCGACGAAATTTTTCCGCTTAAAACGCGCGCGCGATGATAACCGCAACTATTCTGCGAGTCTCTCTCTTCCCCAGCGTGCCCGCGCACATTCTCGGCAGGATTATCTCTTCTATTGTTCCGAGGAACGCGATTGCATCGCTGCAGCAACTTCGCGGCGGCCAAATGCACGGTTATTCTTCGTCACAAGCCGCCCTACGTGCGCCGGCCCTTCCTCCCCGAGAATATACTTCCTATCACTTCAAAGGCGTGTGTGTTGCGTTTACTGACCAATATTGACTGACTAACAGCGTCCCACCCCTGAGGCATTTTTCTTTCATCATTGGATACGTAATTTTATCGCTGTATTTTCAGTGCATAATTCCCGTAAATTAATTACACTGAGATTACTGTAGATTAATCTACGCTGAGAGAAAATACGTCTGAAAAGTCACATATTTATTCGATAAATAATATGACATAACTACTTAAATATGAATTTTTTTCTTTGCACAGAATATACGACTGCTTATGTGAAAAGCATTTTTAGGAAAACAGAAATTTTACTTGAAGAAAATTGAAAAGAAATTTTCATTTAGGAGAAGAAAAAATATGTTTATCAATACGATATGTGCTTGTCGGAAAAATATTTCTTATTTTTTATATATTTTTTCTCTCAATGCACGATTTCAGAGGAAATATAATTCCAAGCCTAATTTGAGATTAAAAATATGGACAGTCTGGTTTTTTAATTAAAAAGGTTTGCAAAGCAATTACGGCTTTCAGTATCGTAAATAGTGTTACATGCATCGTTAAAAAAATTGATTTACAAAATATCCAAGAGCGCTTAGTCGAAATTGAAATCCCGGGAAAAGCGCGTCGAGCAGCAAAAAATCTCGACGTGGATTGAAGGATTCCCGGAATCCCCTCCGGTACTCTGTCGCGCGCGCGGACATCGCGTGTACCCTACAGGATAATGTCGACACATGACAATATTACAACGAGCCTCTTTGACGCGGCATGTCGGATACGGGTGTATCGTTCCCTATAGGCGACGGCGATTGGCATTTTCCAGCGCTTTCCGCGGCAACCCGTCCCCCGACAGAACATTTCCCGCCCTCCCTCCCTTCTGCCTAGCCTTTTTTATTTTGGATGTTTCAAAGGCGGATCTTCGGCAAAATTATCCGGGCTTCGCGATTTTTTTTCTCTCGCAGTGATAGAAAGACAGCATCAAATCAAATCGCGCGCAGGATTTTCCAATTGACGCATTTTGCTTAATACATTGCTTATTGAAATAAAGAATGAAGATTGAACGCCAGTAGGATATTTAAGATAAACGGCTGTAAAAGTAATTCTGAAGCCAGTCCTGTTTAAAGACAATTCAACATGCGTAAAATGACATTACTTAATCATTGAAGCAGTCGGCACAGTCCTCGAGATTCGATGAAATTTGTGAGATCAATGTTTAATTAACGTTTTGACCCGGGGAACTCTTGCAAAATGTATGATTACGTAATAATAAATAGAAGTAAAATAAATTGCAAGAGTTGATAACGACAAGATTAATACAAAAGGAAATAAACATGACAATAATTGAATAAAGCGACGATTCAGGTTAAAACAAAAAGAATCAAGACGAAACGGCAGTTCGCGATCGTTCGTTTTTATTAGTATAATGCGAGACTAACAGCCCCTCCTCTCGGACACGGACGGTACGTGCTTCGAGCTTTTAATATAGGCTGATGGATGAATGCCATCAGCTTTATCCTAGAATATCCTACTTACTGAGCACCTCGAGAGTGATGTCGCCCTCCAAAGTGGTTGTGTCGTTACGCGCCAGACAGGAGTATCGTCCCGCATCCGAGGTTCTCATCTCCTGCGTGTAGATTGTTTGATTCGCGCTCTCCGGGTATAGGATAAAGTGGCTCGTGCTACCCGGCCAAGGATAAGCTCTGTTATCCTTGTACCTGCAAGGGAGAGAGATGCAATCAAAATGTGTATGATTCGGAATTTTTATATTTTATATATTTTTATATGGCAGCATCGATTTCGTGTGTCAACGTCGATCTCGTGTTTACAGATATTTCTATATCGTTCGCGTACTTACAAAATTGTCGTATCGAATATTTATGTAAGGAATGTATAACGAAGTGACACACATTAGCAGAGAGTTTACTCTGTATTTTATCGGACATTTTTTTTAAATTTCTCTAAAGAGATAAATATATTGCGCAAAATATGAGTGGGAAGAAACTCTGCTAATGGATCTCGAGAGAGATGTTAAAGTGAAATCTGGGCGGACGTTGAAATGCCGTCACCATATTGCAAATGGAATAATGATTTGGTATTTTTAGAATTTTTTAATTTTCGCGAGAGAGCATCGCACACCCATAGGTTATTAAGTAAATATGAATACACGTGAATAAAGGTGAAAGAATGTAATCAAAAGGTCGGTAAGAGTCTCTTGAAAAGGGAGGTTTCGTCCTTTATCATATTATTCCTTAATTCTTTTTATTTTCTATTATCAAAACAAACGTTTTCTTTCTCATAGAATATAAAATTTTATATATATATATATATATATATATATATATATATATATATATATAAACGTCACTGTTATCTCCCTCATTCTCCTCTTTTAGTCTTTCAGGGTGGAAAATAGAAGCGTGTACGCGAATTTATAGGGTGGAAATTTTGGAAACAAGACAAAAAGACAGAATATTTTTCAGAGACGATAAATTATCGAAGGAGCGGTCGATCGCGTCTTGGTGCACGTCGCTCTCGAGAACAAGACCGATATTTCCGGACGGGAATATCGATGGTTGTTCTTGAGAGCATTCGTTCCGCCGTAAAGATAAAAGTCGAGGGAACGAGCGCTCCTCGACAAACACTCGAAGGAAGAATCAGGAGCATTGAACCGTTCGCGAAAATAAATCGTCCGGACTATATTGCCGTCGCGACTGCGTTAATTTATTGCTAGTATTGGCACCACCTCCCACCTGCTATACCATTATGGCGAGATAACGCGGTTATGCCGTTAACGGCGATCGCAGCATGAATTATACGTTATGTAAAAACATTTATCATCGAGATATTTTTGCACTTTACTGTACACGTAAAAAGCATCGTATGAAAATAAATATTTTATTTCGCACGATCGTTAATATTATATTTTTATATAATAAACACATTTCATTATTTTATTTTATTATATATCATTATATATATATATATATATATATATATATATATATATATGTATAACTTATAAAATTATGTAAAATAAAGTATTTATTTTTTGTTACTTTTGAGTTACTGTTACACTGAGAGAAAAAATATTAAAAAAATAAGAAACATAAGTTACAAAAATTTTGTTTTACATGAGAGAAAATATACATTTTAATGTAAATATATGACATTTTATATTTTAATATAAATATAAAGTGAATTTAAATTTAAATCGATATGCTATTAGCACCCACTGAAAAATGTTTTCTTATTTTTACATATTTTTTCTGTCATAGTGTATAGTTAAGAGTGATAACAGTAGCTAGATTTCATTGCAGCATTTCTGTTATTTTCTTAAAAAGAATGTTCTACCACGATTATTATTATCATATTTTACTTTTTTTTTCAGCGAGAACGAGAATGAATTTCCCCAAGAATCCCTCTCACCCTTCGATTTCTCGCGCAAAACGGATTTTTATTTACGCGATTTTTAATTTCGTGTCCGCATTCTGCACGCGGTCCGTTGCGAGGACGAGACTTCTTTTCGTCCACCGGTGAAGGATCGAGAATTCAACGACGGTGCACGCTCCCGTGAGAGAGGAAGAGAAAGCCCCTCCACGTAATTCAATTTCTAGTGCACTACGCAAATCCACTTTCGTTTTGCCCGTGGATCAAAGAGACACCAGCCGCGCGGATCTTGCGAACTTGGAGGCGCCACGGCGTGCTTCTCCCTCGGATCCTGAAAAGTTTCTGTCCCCGCGTCTCCTGAGTGCCGTTGCCGCGGAAAAAGGATTCCTCTCACTCTTTAATTCTCCGACCTCTAAATGCCTGCTCCATTCTCGGATCCTGTTGCACGTTAAATGCCGACTTCCCGCGCGATTAGTTTCTCGTGTCTCTTTTGCGCTTCTTTCACGCTTTCAAACAAATTTCTCGCTCTCCCTATCGTCAATCCGATAACACTCAAGATGTTTCCCCCACGATCAGAGAAATCATGAAAATTTCTTTTCACTCTTAATCTTCTGAGGACCGGCTATTTTTTTATCGACTTTTTTTATTTTAAAAGCTACAACTTTTTTGTCAATGTCATTGAATTGAATGGGAAAAAAGCTGACACCGCCGTCGCGCCGATCACGGTCTCTAATTCGATTATCAGGACACGCTGATTATTGGGACTACAATTGGTCCAGAAATTTTGATGAACACAACTGATCCGGACCATCCAACTATCACGACAACGTTTAACCCTTTCGTTAGCAATTTTGTTTTTATTTTCGCATCATTAAATGCATTAATATAATGTAGTTTCATCAAGAAAATTAAAAATTTTATGTTTGACAAAGAGATAAGACCGGCACACTGATATCTTACTGAAGTTTTTGACAAGACATATTTATCTCCACAGTAACAAGTAAAGAGATAGCTGATGCGTTCTGAATGTCAAGCTGCATGTATATTCGAATAATCGGTTATTAATAATCAGTTATTAATAGTTAGTGAAATACATATTCCCGTTGATAGCGAAAGGATTAAATATTTGGATATCTCCCGTTCGCGATGGCCGTCGATTTTTGCGCGAAAAGACGCTCGAGGGCCGCCGTATACGTGAAAGTTTCACGAGCGGCTGTTCGCGCGATTTTCTAGTCGCGACGCGGCTCGTCGTAAATAAAAAATTCTTTAATAAACCGAAGCGCGCGGACTCGTCGCGTTTCGGCCGCGATAGCGACAAGGAATGCAAGGATAGGCAATCTCGCGGCCGACATTAAGAATTCCTTTATTAAAGCTCTTCCAACATCGGCAGGACTTCTTTTACGAGCTTCTGTTACGGGTGGACTTTGAATAAGAATTTTTAATAAAGAGCGCTTCCCTCCCACCCCCTCCCCCACCCGCTCGGCTATCCAGCGACCCGTCATCCGTTCGACCCACTTCACCGGGATAATTTCGAACTGGCTCGGATTCTAACGAGGATTCAGTTTTGTAGCGAACTTCCGAAGACTAATAAAGACACCGAGAAACACTCGAGGATTCGAGGACACGGGGGAAAGTTCAGGACACTCGCGCGAGACAGCGCGCCAACGCGGAGATCGAAATATGCGAGATAGAGCAGAGCGAGGTAAGATCCTTAAGTTCCGCGGTGACGAGCTGAAATGCAAAAATGTCGGCGGATTCTGAAGACTCGGAGTGGCGGATAGTGTTAGAACAGGGATGCTGCGAGAGAAACGGAAGAGAAAATCGGGTTCTGCGAGTTGTCAATTCTAAAATTGGCGGATTCTCCAACTTTGGCCCGCATATTTTTAAGGAGCAGTCGGATCCTCAAAGATCCTACATTTCGAATCACGGAATTTCGGACAAACGGTTGACAAAGATCTGTGAAATTAAGCAGACGAAAACCTGATAACTTAGACCGAAAAAGACCCGCCGATTTGAACTGAAGAAAATCTGTCAATTTAGATCTGTCACTTTAGAAGAAAGGTCTTTGTCGGTCCAAATTTGCATATTTCGTTGAATTCCATGCTGCTGTACTTTTCGTATTTCAGGTATTCCTTTTTAAACATTCCTAAGATTGACTGTTTCATTCCCATAAATTTGTATATCAATTAAATACCCGCTGAAGATAATTCAGTCTGGAAAGTGTCTGTGAAAAATTGAGAACCGTCGGAGCGCGCGGACGCAATTTGCAGCGATCGATCTGCAAAAATCACCGTTTAATTATGATTGTGCTCGAGCGCGTGGCGCCGTTATCGGATCGCGTATTGTATTCAGCCGTTAAGCTCCATTTCCAATATGGGGCGCATCCTGAAAATGTTCGGTGATCACTGGCTGTCCTTAATAGCTGGAAATGCGGTTAGCTCACGTAATTAAAGCGAATTTTATACCGGCGAATCCGCTCGGCCTTGCATTTGTGAAATAATCGCTGGCATTTCCTCGCATTGCGAAATCACTCCGGGAATTAATCGTTTATTATTGCTGCAATAAAAACGGGAAAGAGCGCGGACGGAGATCGATGGCAATAAATAACGATGTAAATGCCGGAATACGCGAGACCTAACTAGAACTAATTAGAAAAGTGGATGCGCGCAAAAATGAGATACTTAATTTTAATAAATAAGTACGCGCACTGAGAGAAAGAATCTTGCTAAAATTTAACAAAACGCCAATGTTCGCAACAAATATGAAACAGCAAGTGACCTCGCAGTGGGAACAAATAATTTAATGCTTCTAATTTGCAAAATTTAAATTTGAAATTGAATTGGAAATTTGACGCTTGAAGTGTTGCTCTAAGCAACGTTTCTGTAATTACATAAACTGGCCTAATCTAAATAGACGAGAATAGATGTGATTTATACCTTAGGCAATGTACATTTGTTAAAATAGCAAATACTGAGAAATGATTTGTTACGGTTTCCCTGACAATTATTGCATAGCAAGCATACATTTGTTCTGATAATCGAGGAGTTGTTAGCTATGTAAACCTAGCATAATTTTTTTCTAAAAAGTTAGCATTTTTATAGTAATAATAATCTCGTTTGTAGTTTCATCCATTAAAAATTACAGTAATTTAAAAAAATGAGTAGCACCCCATTTTAAGATATCTCAAATCTGCAAACGAGTGACGTTTCTAAATCGTTTGTAGTTGTTTGTAGTGATTTTCGTTTCATTTGTAGTCGAATCGTTCAAAAGTTACAACAATTTAACAAAACGCCTAAGAGTCAACTTTGCCATTTTTTGAGATATCTCA